TTTCATGGAAACTAGACTGATAACAAACTATAATGGAAGATTAAGAGCTCTTAAGGTCCCAGGATAGCTAGTATAATTCTCGAAAAACAAAAGCAAAGAGTGGAGATTTGTGCTACCTGATATTAAGGCATACTGTAAACCCTTAATAACTGAAACAATGAAATATTGATAAGGACTCAAATGGGCAATGGAACAAAATAGAATCCATGAATGAACTTACACAGATATAAAAACTTGGTACATCATGGCCAGGCGAGGTGGCTCATGCCTGTAATTCCAGCATTTTGGGAGGCCGAGGTGGGCAGATCACTTGAGGTCAGGAGTTTGAGACCAGCCTGGGCAACATGGTGAAACCCTGTCTCTACAAAAATACAAAAATTAGCTGGCTGTGGTGGTGCTCACCCGTAATCCCAGCTACTTGGGAGGCTGAGGCAGGAGAATGGCTTGAACCCCTGAGGTGGAGGTTACAGTGAGCCAAGATTACGCCACTTCACTCCAGCCTGGGTGACAGAGCGAGACTCCATCTCAAAAAAAAAAAAGAAGCAAAAAACAAAAAACTTGGTACATAAGAAAAGTAGGGGAAAGGAAGGATCATTCAATACATCAAGCTGGGGAACTGTCGTATTATGTAGAGTAAATAAAGTTAGATTCTTTCACAAAGCATGTACAAAATAAACATCTACTGTATCAAGGACCTGATATGGGCGACATTATAAAAGTATAAGAAAATATAGAAAAATATCTTTATGACTTAGGGGTAGGGGAGAATTTATTAAATAAGACACCAAAGCATATACCATAAAGATACAAAATCATGGGCTGGACAGAACCAAAATAAGTACTTCTTGGTAAAGGAAGAAGTATACTGATATCTGCAATTTATTTGGAAATGCAGTAAAAAGGATGGAAAAATGGATGCCCAGAGATGAACAAATGGATGGTTATAGGAAGTAAAGCAAATATGCTAAATATTATAGAATCTAGGTGGTGATTATATGAGTGTTCACTGTACTACCATTCTAAGTTTTCTATGTATATAAAATTATAATACTAAAAGGTTGGCAAAAATTTGTCCACTTTCTGGCTGGCCATGGTGGCTCCTGTCTGTAGTCCTAGCACTTTGGGTGGCCAAGATGGGAGGACTGGTTGAACCCAGGAGTTCACAACTAGTTTGGGCAACACAGTGAGAGCCGTCTCTAAAAACAAAACTTTAAAAAATTAGCTGGGTGTCTGGGCATGGTGGCCCATGCCTGTAATCCCAGCACTTTGGGAGGCCAAGGTGGGTGGATTACGAGGTCCTGAGTTCAGGACCAGCCTGGCCAAGATGGTGAACCCTCGTCTCTACTAAAAATATAAAAATTAGCTGGGCATGGTGGCAGGTGCCTGTAATCCCAGGTACTTGGCAGGCTGAGGCAGAGAACTGCTTGAACCCAGGAGGCAGAGGTTGCAGTGAGCCAAGATAGCACCACTGCACTCCAGCATGGGTGACAAAGTGAGACTCCGTCTCAAAGAAAAAAAAAAAATTAGCTGGGCATGGCCAGGCATGGTGGCTCACGCCTGTAGTCCCAGCACTTTGGGAGGCTGAGGTGGGCAGATCATGAGGTCAGGAGTTTGAGACCAGTCTGGCAAGTAAGGCGAAACCCCGTCTCTACTACAAACACAAAAATTAGCTGGGTGTGATGGCCTACTGCACTCCAGCCTGGGCAACAAGAGTGAAACCCCATCTCAAAAAACAAAACAAACACACACACACACACTCACACACACACACATCAACTCAAGATGGACTAAAGACTGAAACGTAAGACCTGAGCTATAAAAATCCTAGACGAAAAAACCTAGGAAAAACTCTTGAGTACATTGGCCTAGGTAAAGAACTCATGATTAAGACCTCAAAAGTGGCTGGGTGCAGTGGCTCATGCCTGTAATCCCAGAACTATGGGAGGCCAAGGTGGGTGGATCGCCTGAGGTCAGGAGTTCAAGACCAGCCTGGCCAACATGGTGAAACCCCATCTCTACTAAAATATAAAAATTAGCCAGGCGTGGTGGCATGCACCTATAATCCCAACTACTTGGGAGGCTGAGGCAGGAGAACTGCTTGGGCCTGGGAGGCTGAGGATGCAGTAAGCTGAGATCGTGCCACTACACTCCAGCCTGGGCGACAGAGCTAGACTCCATCTCAAAAAAAAAAAAAAAGAAAAAAAAGAAAACCTCGAAAGCAAATACAACAAGAACAAAAATAGACAAATAAGCATGAAGGAAAAAGCTCCTGAATAGGAAAAGAAATAACAGAGTAAAGAAACAACCTGCAGAATCAGAGAAAATATTTGCACACTATACATCCAACAACAAAAATGCCTGCAACTGTATGTTTATTGCAATACTATTTGCAATAGCAAAGGTATGTAATCAACCTAAATGTTCATCAATGAATGAATGATTGGATAAAGTATGATTTTATATGTGTGTGTGTGTGTGTGTGTGTGTGTGTGTATACATATACACACACACATATATTGGAGTACTATTCAGGCATAAAAAAAGAATGAAATCATGTCTTTTACAGCAACAGGGATGGAAGAGGCCATTTATCTTAAGTAAAATAACTCAGAAACAGTCAAGTCCAACATGCTCTCACTTATAAGTGGGAGGTAAACAATGTGTCCACACCGACACAGGCAGTGGAGTAACACAGACTGGGGACTCAGAAGGATGGGAGGGGGTGAGGGATTAAAAATTACTTAATAGGTACAATGTACACTATTTGAGTTATGGCTACGTGAAAAGCCCAGACTTTACCACTAAGTAATACATCCATGGAACAAAAGGACACCTGTACCCTTTAAATCTATAAAAATAAAGGGTTTTTTTTTCCTCCCAGTTTTTTTTTTTTTTTTTGAGACAGAGTCTTGTCCTATCACTCAGGCTGGAGTGCAGTGACACAATCTCAGCTCACTGCAACCTCCACTTCCAGGGTTCAAGTGATCCTCCCTTGCAGCCTCCCAAGTAGCCAGGAACACAGGCTTGAACCACCATGTCCAACTAATTTTTGTATGTTTAGTAGAGATATGGTTTTGCCATGTTGGTCAGGCTGTTCTTCAACTCCTGGCCTCAGTCTCCCGAACTGCTGAGATAACAGGTGTGAGTAATTGCACTCAGCCTAATTCTGTTTGTTTTTTTGAGACAGAGTCAGTTCCACTGTTGCCCAGGCTGGAGTGCAGTGGAACAATCTCAGATCACTGCAACCTCTGCCTCCTGGGTTCAAGTAATTCTCCTGCTTCAGCCTCCCGAGTAGCTGGGATTACAAGCACCCGCCACCATGCCTGGCTAATTTTGTATATAAATATTTTTTGTATAGATGGGGTTTTACCATGCTGTCCAGGCTGGTCTTGAACTCCTGGCCTCAAGTGATCTGCCCACCTTGGCCTCCCAAAGTGCTAGGATTACAGGCGTGAGCCACCACGCACAGCCAAGAGTTAAATTTTTACAAGGCTAGTAAAAACGAAATACTTCTGGTAAACAAAAAATACCATACATGAAGTTTAAACAAATTGTGACTGACTGGAAAAGATATTTGATATACATGCACAGACACAAGCACGCACACTCAAATATAGAAAAGTATTTGCTGTATGTGTGTCTGAGTGTACACACACACACATCTGACAAAGAACTTCTGTAATCAGCAAAATAAGACAAGTAACCTAATAAAAAATTTGCAAGACAAATAAAGCAGCACTTCAGAGAATGAGAAAACTCAAATGGCTAATAAGCATAAAAATGGAAGATCAACCTCCTTGTAGTCAAATGCAAATTAAAATTAAAGATACTACTTGAAAACACGAGATTGGCAAAAATTAAGAAGTTTTATGATATTAGTACTGGCAATAATATGAGGAAATAGAAATACTTATGCATTGTTCACAGGAATATAAATTGGTACAACTATAATCTAGAGCAATTTGGCAATGTTTAGTCAAAGGCTACATGCATATTTTACAGGATCCAGAAATTCTACTTCTCAGTTATACTTTAAACTGACTCAGGAACACAAAGAGACACAGACATCTATGAAGACATCCCCTGCAGCACTATTTGTAATACCAAAGAACTGAAAACAACTATCTACTAATCAATAAATAAAATGCTGTGATATTAGTATTTGATAGAACATAACCCAACAGTGGAGAAGAATGATTGATATTATGAATATGGACAGACCTCAAAAATAATATTAAGTGAAAAAAAGAAACAGGCCGGGTGCAGTGGCTCATGCCTGTAATTTGGGAGGCTGAGGTAGGGGGACTACCTGAGGTCAGGTGGTCGAGATCAGCTGGGCCAACATAGTGAAACCCCGTCTCTACTAAAAATACAAAAATTTGCTGGGCATGGGAGCTGGTGCTTGTAATCCCAGCTACTTGGGAGGCTGAGGTGGGAGAATCACTTGAACCTGGGAGGTAAAGGTTGCAGTGAGCTGAGATTGCACCACTGCACTCCAGCCTGGGCAACAAGAGTAAAACTCTGTCTCAATAAAAAAAGGAAAAAAAAGAAACAATGAGATGTACAACACAACACCTTTCATGTCAAAAAAGGAAAAAATTTTACCCATACAAAAATACTATAGACTGTGCATGAATACACGTATGTCTCAATAAATATATGGAAGACGGCTTGGAAGGACACACTTCAAATATCCAAAAGTGGATGACTATGGGTGAATAAAAGAAGGAAATTGGATCAAAGATGAGGACTCAACAAGACAAAAACTAAACTAAAACTGAAAAGTAAAGAGGAGTCACGTATGGACTGATAGGACCAAGGATCACAAACTGAGAAGACTGTCCAAACAATCATTTTTGATAAGCCAAACATAAAATAAACATAAAAGCCAAACATAAAATTGGTTTGATTTCCCTACCCCCAAATATCAAAAAAGCATGTGCTTAAAGGAAATATCAAAAAAGTAAAAGAACTGGCTGCCTGCCTGTTAGATAGCTTACCGGAGAACACAGCACATGAGCAGCAGATGGGTGGGGACATTAGCTGGATTTAGCATACTCGGTGTGTCCGACTTCATACAGGCCAGGAAGGCCCGCATCCTTCTGTTCTTGTCTTCGACTGCTTTGCCTAGCCAGAGCTTCTTGAGGTTTGGGCAAGTCCATTCCCGAAAGGTCAATGCAGACACCAGTTCAGGGGTTTGAGGTGACTTCCCTTTATAGGCAGACCATTCTTTAAGGATCACTGAAGGAACTGGAAAACAGAAATTTAAAGAAAAAAAGCTCTAAAAATCTCTTAGCATTTCTTTTCTTTTTTTTTTTGAGACTGAGTTTCGCTCTTGTTACCCAGGCTGGAGTGCAATGGCGTGATCTCGGCTCACCGCAAACTCTGCCTCCTGGGTTCAGGCAATTCTCCTGCCTCAGCCTCCTGAGTAGCTGGGATTACAGGCATGCGCCACCATGCCCAGCTAATTTTTTGTATTTTTAGTAGAGACGGGGTTTCACCATGTTGACCAGGATGGTCTCGATCTCTTGACCTCGTGATCCACTCGCCTCAGCCTCCCAAAGTGCTGGGATTACAGGCGTGAGCCACCGTGCCCGGCCTCTCTTAGCATTTCTACAGCTAGCAGCAGTATCCACTGACAGGGTCCATCGCATTTCAATTCTTAATTTTTTTGTCACAATAATATTTTTAGCAGCAGGAATACTACACATTAAGTGCTTCATATGCAAGCACTTTACATATATTATCTCATTTAATCCTCACAAAAATCCTGAGAGAGAAATTATGATACATTATCACAAAACATAATGCTCATTTTGCAGATAAAGAAATCAATGGGCTGGGTGTGGTGGTTCACATGTCTAATCCCAGCAATGTGGGAGGCTGAGGCAGGAGGATTGCTTGAGTCCTGGAGTTCAAGACCAGCCTAGGCAAGATGGAGAGATCCTACCTCCAAAGAAAATTTAAAAATTAGCTGGGTGTAATGGCACATGCCTGTAGTCCCAGCAACTTGGGAGGCTGAGGCAGGAGGATCCCTGGAACCTAGGAGTTTGAGGCAGCAGTGAGATATCTTGCCACCGTACTCCAGTCTGGGTGACAGAGCTAAATCCTGTCTCTAAAAAAAAATAAATAAGGCTAGGCATGGTGGCTCACACTTGTAATCCCAGCACTTTGGGAGGCCGAGGTGGGAGGATCACTTGAGGTCAGGAATTCAAGATCAGCCTGGCCAACATGGTGAAACTTCGTCTCCACACACACACACACAATATATATATATATTTAGACAGGCATAGTCGCAGGTGCCTGTAATCCCAGCTCCTCTGGAGGCAGGGGCAGGAGAATCAGTTGAACCTGGGAGGCAGAGGTTGCAGTGAGCTGAGATCGAGCCAGTACACTCCAGCCTGGGCGACAAAAAGAGACTTTGTCTGAAATAAAAAATAATAATAACTTGGAGAAAGAAATCAAGGTCTAATGTCACACATTTCTTTTCTTTTCTTTCTTTTTTTCTTTGAGACAGAATCTCACTCTGTCACCCAGGCTTGGAGTGCGGTGGTTCGATCTTGGCTCACCACAACCTCTGCCTCCTGGGTTCAAGTGATTCTTCTGCCTCAGCCTCCTGAGTAGCTGGGACTACAAGCGCCTGCCACCACAGCCAGCTAATTTCTGTATTTTTAGCAGAGTCAGGATTTCACCATATTGGCCAGGCTGGTCTAAACTCCTGACCTCATGATCTACCTGCCTTGGCCTCCCAAAGTGCTGGGATTACAGGCGTGAGCCACATCGCCTAGCCCTACACATTTCTTAGTTACTCTGAATCTAATTTTTTAGTAGATGCACCAGGCTAGACAAGGAAAGCAGCACAAGGAAGAATCATGTAAATATCTGGCTTTATAATACACAACAAGATATCCCAGAAGACATTAAGATATTTCACAAAATTCTCAAAAAACCAACATCTTTGAGATTTACAAAGGCATACCAGACCAGGAAAACATGGCTTCTGGCCGGGGGCGGAGGCTCAAGCCTGTAATCCCAGCACTTCGGGAGACTGAGGCAGGTGGATCACGAGATCAAGAGATCGAGACCATCCTGGTCAACATGGTGAAACCCAGTCTCTACTAAAAATAGAAAAATTAGCTGGGCACAGTGGCCCCAGCTACTCGGGAGGCTGAGGCAGGAGAATTGCCTGAAGCCAGGAGGCGGAGGTTGCGGTGAGCCGAGATCGCGCCATTGCACTTCAGTCTGGATAACAAGAGCGAAACTCCATCTCAAAAAACAAAAAAACAAAAAACCAAACATGGCTTCTATATATTTGTACTCCATCTCAGACTACTCAGCTATGGCCTCCCTCTTCTATTTAAGATGTCTAACATCTATTCAATCACCCAAGCAAGAGACTTGGAAATCATTCGGTTATTACCAAGGTCTTGCTGATTCTTTTTTTTTTTTTTTTGGGACGGAGTTTCACTCGTGTTACCCAGGCTGGAGTGCAATGGCACGATATTGGCTCACCGCAACCTCCGCCTCCTAGGTTCAGGCAATTCTCCTGCCTCAGCCTCCCGAGTTGCTGGGACTACAGGCGCACACCACCATGCCCAGCTAATTTTTGTATTTTTAGTAGAGACGGGGTTTCACCATGTTGACCAGGATGGTCTCGATCTCTTGACCTAGTGATCCACCCGCCTCGGCCTCCCAAAGTGCTGGGATTATAGACGTGAGCCACCGCGCCCAGCCCGATTCTTTTTTGTTGTTGTTTTTGAGACGAAGTCTCCCTCTGTTGCCCAGGCTGGAGTGCAGTGGTGCAATCTCGGCTCACTGCAACATCCGCCTCCCAGGTTCAAGCTATTCTCCTGCCTCAGTCTCCTGATTAGCTGGGACTACAGGCATGTGTGCCACCATGCCCAGCTAATTTTTTTATTTTCAGTAGAGACAGGGTTTCACCGTGTTGGCCAGGATGGTCTTGATCTCTTGACCTCGTGATCTGTCCGCCTTGGCCTCCCAAAGTGCTGGGATTACAGGCGTGAGCCACTGTGCCCGGCCAAGTCTTGCTGATTCTACCTCCTTATCATCCCTTCTATCTGTCCCATTTTTTCTATCACAACAAATATTGTGGTGGTTCAAATATTATCTTTGATCTGACAAGAGTCTCAAGACTGTTCCTACCTTTATTCTATCTGGTCTCCCTCACACCCATGCTCCACAACCACTACAATGTTATTATTTAAAAAATTCTTTTAGTTTGAAATAATTATAGATTCATAGGGAGTTACAAAGATAGTACAGATAGGTCCTGTGTATCCTTCACTCAATTTCCCCAATGGTGTTATATCTTAAATAAGTATAATACACCATTAAAGCCAGCAAAGTGACATTGGTACAATCTTTTTTTTTTTTTTTGAGACGGAGTTTTGCTCTTTTCACCCAGGCTGGAGTGCAATGGCGCAATCTTGGCTCACCGCAACCTCCGCCTCCTGGGTTCAGGCAATTCTCCTGCCTCAGCCTCCTGAGTAGCTGGGATTACAGGCACGCACCACCATGCCCAGCTAATTTTTTGTATTTTTAGTAGAGACGGGGTTTCACTATATTGATCAGAATGGTCTCGATCTCTTGACCTCGTGATCCACCCACCTCGGCCTCCCAAAGTGCTGGGATTACAGGCTTGAGCCACCGCGCCCGGCCGACATTGGTACAATCTAAGTGTGTAGTTCTGTTATACAGATTTGTGTATCCACAACTGCAGTCAAGATACAGAACAAATCCATAACCACAAAGATTTCCATTGTGCCAACCCTATATAGTCACAAACGCCGCCTTCTAGCACCATCCCTAACTCACAGAAACCACTAATCTATTCTCCATCTATAATTTTGTCATTTTGAGGACACCATATAAGTGGAATTATACAGTATATGATCTTTTGAAACTGGCATTTTTCACTCAGCATATGCCCTTAAGATCCATCCATATTGCTGCATGTATCAATACTTCTTTTTTTTTTTTGGTGAGTAGCATTCCATGGTATGGATGTGCCACAGTGTAATCATTCACCCACTGAAGCACATCTGGGTTGCTTCCAGTTTGGGGCTACCATGCTGTCTTGTGAATATGTTCCTGCATGAAAATAAGTCTTTATTTCTCGGATATAAATGCCAAGGAGTGTAAGTGCTGGGTTGTGTAAATGTATTTTTAGTTTTGAAAGAAACTGACAAATTATTTTCCAGAGTGGCAGTACCATTTTACATTCCCACCAGCATTTATGAGTGATCAAGCTTCTCTGCATCCTCTCTGGGATAATGGTATTATCACTATTATTCACCTTTGCCATTTTGGTAAGTGTGTAGTGGTATTTCATTGCGGTTTTAATTTGTATTTTTCTTTTTCTTTTCTTTTTGAGACAGAGTCTTGCTCTGTCACCAGGCTGGAGTGCAGTGGTGCGATCTCACCTCACTGCAACCTCCACCTCCCGGGTTCAAGTGAGTCTCCTGCCTCAGCCTCCTGAGTAGCTGGGACTACAGGTGCACGCATGCCACCATGTCCAGATAATTTTTGTATTTTTAGTAGAGATGAGGTTTCACCATGTTGGCCAGGATGGTCTTGATCTCTTGACCTTGTGATTCATCCACCTTGGCCTCCCAAAGTGCTGGGATTATAGGCAAGAGCCAATGCACTTGGCCTTAATTTGTATTTTTCTAATGGCTACTGATGTTGAACATCTTTTCATGTCTTTATTTGCTATATGTAGATCTTTTTCAGTGAAATGTCTGTGCATATCTTTTGCCAACTTTCTAGTTTAATTTTTTTGTTATGTTCAGTTTTCAGAGTTCTTTATATATTTTAGATACTAGTATAGATATGTGGTACTTGTTCAACTCTGGATGTCCAGTTGATCTAACATCATTTATAAAAAAAAAACTATCTTTCCTCCAATGAAGTGCCTTTGTAGCTTTGTCAAAAATCAGTTTGCTGGCTAGGCACAGTAGCTCACACCTGTAATCTCAGCTGAGGCTGAGGCAGAAGAATTGTTTGAGCCTGGGAGGCAGAGGTTTCAGTGAGCAGAGATTGCGCCACTGTCCTCCAACCTCAGCAACAGAGCAAGACTCTGTCTCAAAAAAAATAAAAATCAGTTTGTTGTACTCATATGGGACTATTTCTGGATGCCCTGTTGTATTCCACCGATCTACATGTTAATACCTCTGCCTACAGTCTTTGAGATAGGGTCTCTCTCTGACACCCAGCCTGCAGTGCACTGGCATGATCTCAGCTCACTGCAACCTCCACCCCAGGGTCAAGTGATCCTCTCACCTCAGCCTCCTGAGGAGCTGGAACCACAGGTGCATACCATCACATCCAGCTATTTTTTTTTTTTTTTTGTATTTTCAGTAGAGATGGGGTCTTCCCATGTTTCCGAGGCTGGTCTTGAATTCCGGAGCTCAAGAGATCCACCCACCTTGCTCTCCTAAAGTGCTGGTATTACAAGCGTGAGCCACCATGCCTGGCCTACAATCTTGATTACTGTAGTTCCCCAGTAAGTCTTAAAATCAGGTTCAACAACGGCTTCCAACTTATTCTTCCTTTTCAAAAATCATTTTAGCTCATTTAATTCCTTTGTCTTTCCATATAAACATTAGAATTATCTTGTCTATATCTACAAAGAATCTTGCTGGGATTTGGACAGGAATTGCATCAAACCTGTGTTATCAAGTTGGAGAGAACTGACATCTTTACTATGTTGAGTTTTCTAATCCATGAACATCTGTATTTCTCCATTTATTTAGATCTTTTATTTGTTTCATCAGTGTGTTGCGACTCTCAGCATACAGATTTTGAATACCTTTTGTTAAATGTTTATTTCATTTTCTCTGGAAGGACTGTAAATGGTCTTGCATATTTTTGTTTCAGTTCCACATATTCATTGTCAGTATGTAGAAAGATAATCAATTTTTATGTTTATCTTGTATCCTGCAACCTTAACAAACTCACTTATTAGTTGCAGGAGTTTTGTTGTGGATTCCTTGTGATTTTCAACATAGACTAACTATATGTCATCTGCAATTAGTTTTATTTCTTCCTTACTGATGTCTATGCCTTCGATTTCATTTTCTTGCCCTACTGCACTGGCTAAAACTTCTAGTACTATGTTGAAAAGCAGTGGAAAGAGCAGACATCCTAGCCTTGTTCCTGATTTTAGGGGAAAAACATTACCTTTCACCACTAGGTATAGTTGATCCTTGAATACAAGTTTGAACTACACAGGTCCACTTACACACAAATTTTTTTCAACCAAACACCAATAGAAAATAAAGAATTCACATGATGCCAAACCCATGTACATAGAGGGCCAACTTTTGGTATACACAGGTTCTGCAGGGCCTACTGTCGGACTTGATTATGAGTGAATTTTAGTATATGTGGGGGTCCTGGAACCAATCCCCCACATATGGCAAGGAATGACTGTATGTTAGCTGTAGGTTCTTTGTAGATATTCTTTATCCTGAGGAATTTCCCCTCTACTCTTGTAGTTTCCTGATAGATCTTATCATGAATGTTAGTGTTGAATTTTGTCAATTGCTTTCTCTGTATCCACTGATATAATCACATGATTTTTTTTCTTTAGCCTGTTTATTTGGTGGATTATATTTATTGATTTTTCAAATATTGAACAAGGCTTATAACAATGGAATAAACCCTACTCGGCCTTGGCCATGGCATGTAATTCTTTTTATATATTGCTGAATTCCCCTGGCTAATATTTTGTTAAGAATTTTTACATCCATATTGTCTTAGTGAATTTGGCTGCTATAAACAAAGTACCATAGACGGGAAGGCTTATAAATAACAGAAATTGATTTCTTACGATTATTGAGGCTGGAAGTCTAAGATCAAGATATTGGCAGACACATCCGGTGAGGACCTGCTTCCCGGTTTGCAGATGGCTGTCTTTTCATTGTCTCCTCACATAGTGGAGAGTAGAAAGAGCTATCTGGTGTTCCTTTTATAAGGGCACTAATCTCATTCATGAAGGTTCTACACTCATGACCTATTACCTCCCAAAGGCCCCATCTCCTAATACCATCACATTATGGGTCAGTATTTCAACATATGAATTGGGGAGGAGGGCAGAAACACTCAATCCATAACATACACTGATGAAGGATACTAGTCTGAAGTGTTGATTTTATGTACTGAGTTTTCTTTTTAAGAGATGAGGTCTTACTCTGTTATCCAGGCTGGAGTGCAATGGAGCTATCACAGCCCACTGCGGCCTCAAACTCCTGGGTGCAAGCAATCCTGCAGAACAGCTGGGACTACAGGTGTGCACCATCCTCAGTTATATTAAAAAAAAATTTTTTTTTGTAGTGATGGGGTGTCACTATGCTGCCCAGGCTGGTGTCAAACTCCTGGTCTCAAGCATCTTCCCACCTGGGGCTCCCTAAGTATTGAGATTGTAGGTGTGAGCCACCATGCTTGACCCAGGTATCTTTTTTGATATAATAATTTCTTTCCCTTTGAATGTATACCCAGTAGTGGGATTGCTACATCGAATGGTAGTTCATTTTTAGTTCTTTGAGAAATCTCTATATTATTTTCTATAAATGTTGCACTAATTTACATTCCTACCAAGAGTATATAAGCATTTCCTTTTCTCTGCATCCTTGACAACATCTGTTTGTTTTAGGATTGGTTCATTGCAACCTCCACCTCCCAGGCTCATGCAATTCTCGTGCCTCAGCCCTGCTCTCCTTCCCACCCCCTCGAGTACAAGGGCTTACAAGTGCACGCCACCGTGCCCATCTAATTTTTTGTATTTTTAGTAGAGATGGGGTTTCTTCATGGTGGCCAGGCTGGTTTCAAACTCCTGGCCTCATGTGATCTGCCCACCTCAGCCTCCCAAAGTGCTGGGATTATAGGCATGAGCCACTGCACCCAGCTCATTGTGGTTTTTATATGCATTTCTCTGATAACTAGTGATGCTGAGTATTTTTTTCACATATTTGTTGGTGATTTGTACATCTTCTTTTGCAAAATGTCCACTCTTGTCCTTTGCCTAATTTTTAATTGGGATTGTTTGCTTTTTTCTTGAGTTGTTTGAGTTCCTTATAGATTCTGAGTATTAGCCCTCTGTCCAATGCAGTTTGCAAATATTTTTTCCCATTCTGTAGGCTACTGACTCTGTTGTTTCTTTTGCTATTCAAACATCAAACCCATCTATAACTGCTTACCAAAGCATTTTTATGGTGGCTGTTTTGAAATCCTTGTGAGATAATTCAAACTTCTGTCATCTCTATGTTCATTTTCTTTTTCGTTCTTTTTTTTTCTTGAGACAGTCTCACCCTGTCACCCAGACTGGAGTGCAATGGCACGATCGGCTCACTGCAACCTCTGCCTCCTGGGTTCAAGCAATTATCCAGCCTCAGCCTGTCAAGTAGCTAGGATTACAGGCATGCACCACCACATCTGGCTAATTTTTTGTATCTTCACAAGAGACAGGGTTTCACCATGCTGGCCAGGCTGGTGTCGAACTCCTGACCTTGTGATCCACCTGCCTCAGCCTCTCAAAGTGCTGGGATTATAGGTATGAGCCACTGCACCTGGCCTCTATGTTCATTTCCTTTTCTTATCTTGAGGTCTGCATTTGACATCTTTCTGGTTCTAGGTATGATGAGGGGTTTTCAATTGAAAACTGGACATTTTGGGTATTATTTTAAAAGACTCTGAATCTTACTTAAACCTTGTGTTTTAGTAGGTCTGTTTCGACCTTTACTCTCGTGGGTAAAGGGGGACACTATGTCATTATTGTCAGGTGGAAGTGGAAGTCCTGGCTCCCCACTTGACCTTGTCTGACACCTCCCCAGGAGAGCAGGTGGGACACCTCATTACAGCCTGGATAAGTATGGAAGTCTAGGCTCTTCATTTGGCCTTTGCTGGTAGGGGTGGGGGTAGACCATAGCTTTTCTGTGGTATTTGGCTAGAGTACAGAGGTTATTATTATGTAAAAATCTCTGTGTTGCTAGGTTGTTCCTTTCTGGTCTGTTGGCCAGAGAAAGTCCGTTTTGGGAGGGCTTATACTGGTCTGCAGCTGTTGCCATTTCTGGGCTGCCAGTTTGCCCCACACCCAGTCTACGATATGTGAAGCAAAAAGAAAATTCAGGGAACTCACCACTGCACCACTGTGTCATTCCTTGAGCCCCAGGATCTCTACTTTCTAGAATGTCTTGTGCTTGTTTTATGGATAATGTCCTGGGCTTTTAGTTGTACTTAGCATGAGGACTAAGGAAAAGTAAATCTTATCTACTCTAGCTTCCCAGAAACAGAAATGGTCTTTTGAACATACTAATTTGACTATGGCACTCTGTAGTTTAAAATACCACAATGTCTCCAAGTACCTACAGGTTCAAATCCCAAAACAAAACATTCACGGAAGAGAAAGACTGCTTAGATACAGCTCTGTTCCCAAACTCAGTATGGTTCTTTTTTGTGTGTGAGACAGGGTCACCCAGGTTGGAGTGCAGTGGCACAATCATAGCTCACTGCAGCCTCCACCTCCCAGAGTCAAGTGATCTTCCTGTCTCAGTCCCACAAGTAGCTGGTACTAAAAGCATGTGCTACCATACTCAGCCAATTTTTTTTCACACAGGGTCTCACTCTGTCACCCAGGTTGTAGTACAGTAACATGATCAGGGCTCACAGTAGCCTTCACCTCCCAGACTCAATCAGTTCTCCCATCTTAGCCCCCCAAGTAGCTGAGACTACAGCTGCGCACAACCTTGATTGACTAATTTTTTTCTCTTTTTAGTAGAGGCAGTTTCTCCATGTTACCCAGGCTGGTCTTGAGCTCCTGAAGAGGTCCATCCACCTCCACCCCACAAAGTGCTGGGATTACAGGCATGAGGCACTGTACCTGGCGTTCTTTATAGTGATGGAGTCTTGCCATGATGCCCACGCTGGTCTCGAACTCCTGAGCTTAAGTGATCCGCCTGTGTTGGCCTTCCAAAGTACTGGAATTACAGGTATGAGCTGCCATGCCTGGCCGAGCATGGTTCTTATAAATAGCAGTCACTCTAAATGCTTGATAATTGCAGAATTGGAGCTTAAGTTAATGTATATCCAATACCAATATGTATTCTGTTGAATGTTGTATTTTCTTAAATCGGTACACAATGTGCCTGCATAGACATATTTGTTCTGTGTCAAGTGCTGAGAACTGTCATAGCTAGAACTATACTTACCTTCCACAGGCAGCCGCCGTCGCATGGCCAAACGTTCCATTTTCCTCTGTGTCTCTGCCAGACTAAAAAGAACTCCATATACATATTGACGAGCTGACCGGAATAAGAGAGCAGCTGGAGGCAGCTCCATGTTACACTCATCCTCAATACATACGGGGATCTTAATTTCACCCTAACAAGAGAAAGGTCCAGGGAAAAGAAAGAACTGAGTTACCTTAAGTTTAGAAGTGAGCTAAGAACCAATGATAAACTGTAGTCCTGTGGCTTAACCACTAATTTTTTATTTGTATTTAGACAGTGTTTCATACTAAAAAGAAGCTGTAACGAGCTTAGCTCATCGTAGTTAATTTACAAGCTATATTTCATTTTTATTTTTTATTTTTTGAGACGAAGTCTTGCTCTGTCGCCCAACTGGAGTGCAGTGGTGCAATCTCAGCTCACTGCAACCTCAGCCTCCTGGTTCAAGTTAATTCTCCTGCCTCAGCCTCCTGAGTAGATGGGATTACAGGTATATACCATGACACCTGGCTAACTTTTCTATTTTTAGTAGAGATGGGGTTTCACCATGTTGGTCTCAAACTCCTAACCTTGTGATCTGCCCACCTCGACCTCCCCAAGTTCTGGGATTACAGGCGTGAGCCACTGCGCCCGGCCTCTGTATTTCATTTTTGAAGTATCAACGGCCAGGCGCAGTGGCTCATGCCTATAATCTCAGCACTTTGGGAGGCTGAGGTGGGTGGATCACCTGAGGTCAGGAGCTCGCGACCAGCCTGACCAACATGGTGAAACCCTGTTTGTACTAAAAATTCAAAAGTTAGCCAGGCATGGTGGCACATGTCTATAATCCCAGCTACTCAGGAGGCTGAGGCAAGAGAATTGCTTGAACCTGTAAGGCGGAGGTTACAGTGAGCCAAGATTGCGCCCTTGCACTCCAGTTCAGCAACAAAACGAGACTCTGTCTCAAAAAATAAAATAAAATAAATAAAGTCTCAACAATAACCGACTATAACTTACTAATGGGGAAAGTCCACCTTAGCCATTTTGCTGGGGGATGGGTATGTATAAGACTGGAGGAGGGGAACAGCTTTGCACAAGTAGAGAAAGAGGTAAGTAAAAGGGCATAATGCTTCTTAGACTGTGTCCATCCCTAGAACCAGAGTCCACCAACTTGGTGCATTATCTACTTCAAAATCTCACAATTACACTTCTCTTCTAGGGGCCTCATTTACCACACAGTCCCAACTCCTGCTAGTCTGGCCTCACCTAAGGCCTTAGTATGATGAGGGGCCCACTGTATGTGGTCTCCTTTTTCTGACTTCATATACCAATGATCAGAAGGTTCTCTGGTAACTTACAGTCCTAGGAAGTAGGAAGTACAGTGTTAAGAACAGGGATGTAGGTGCTGATGTGCTGCCTCACCTTAGTGAGGACGTGGTAGATATATGGGTACATAAGACCCCTCCGGTGTCTGTGTTCAGCAACTCTCAAGACTTCTGGAGCTACTGGAGGTAAGGGTGGAATAGTGATATCCATGTGGTTCCTTGTAGACATAGACAGCAGAGATGGGATGTGGGGTTCGCCATCACCTAGGCTCGCTTCTGAAACTCTAGTATCAACAGGCCGTGGCCAGGACCCTCTGTCACGATTAGGATTTTCCCACTCCGGCTGGTGCGGAAGTGATTCTGTGATATGACTAAAAAATTTAGAAAGACAGTGTCAAGCAGAAAAGGGAGACTGATAAAAACAGGGAGACTGATAAAAATATTCCTACTCAAGATGCCTGTACTGGACCCAAGGAGTCTGACAAACCCTTTGGCGGTCAGGACACTGGGTTAGCACTGGACTGATAACTTTTCTTTCAATGGCCATTACTGACTTCTTGGCTTCTTTCATCTGATACCAACCAAAGTGATCAAGTCATTGGAATCACTCTGGACCCTTTATACCTTGTAAGATTACATATTTAGAGTTTTTCTGTTTTGTTTTGTTTTGTTTTGTTTCCGAGACGGAGTTTTGCTCTTGTTGCCCAGGCTGGAGTGTAGTGACGCGATCTCAGCTCACCACACCCTTTGCCTCCTGGGTTCAAGCGATTCTCCTGCCTCAGCCTCCCGTATAGCTAGGATTACAGGCATGCGCCACCACACCTGGCTTATTTTGTATTTTTTAGTAGAGACGGGGTTTCTCCATGTTGGTCAGGTTGGTCTTGAACTCCTAACCTCAGGTGATCTGCCCACCTCAGTCTCCCAAAGTGCTGGGATAATAGAAATTAGCCACTGTGCCCAGCGAGTTTGCTTGTTTTAAGAAAATAATCACAATTACAACCTCAAAGCAGCTCTACTTCCCAGCAATAATCTGCTTAGAGGAATAATCTATGAACAAATGAGCTAGCACAAATCCCACTCTTTGAATCCTCAGAACCCTGTCTTAGTAAGCAATATAATTGCTTACTCAACTATTCCACTATTTCTACTCCATAAATGCTTTTCTGTCTTTTTTTTGACATTTAATCTACTCTTCTCACAAATTAAGAAATGATAGACACACTATCCACACCAAGGCTTCCTTAACCAGCTACTATCCTGCCTTTTACCTCAGTGGCTTGGGTGTTTGAAAATTACCATCTGCACAGGGCCAAATAAGCATGAACTGGGCAAACAGAGAAAAAGTTTTCCTACTTTGCTTTCCTAAGAGCAAAACACTACAGAAGAAAGCCAGGAAAGCCAGGAATTATACTTCCCCACACCCTCTACCCATCTAACAAGTAAAATAATACAGATGCCTCAGATATCTATTTCCCTAAGCGTCTATAGAGATACTTACTCAGTGCTAGCTCCATTTGGCTCATCACCATCGGAGGAAGAGGACTGGGAAGAGTCTGGTCCCAAAGGAGGTGATGCTTTAGAAGGCAGATAATTGGGAAACTGGGATGCAGAAGAGTCATAAGAGACAGCCCAACTGGCAAAGGGGCTGTTCTGCAGCATGGGATCCTCAGAAAAAGCATGGGATTCCCCCAAAGTATGGGAGGAGAAGAGAAAAGATGAGTTGGGTCCCACTGGGAATGGTGATGGATATTTCACTTTCTGGGGCACTTGGTGAGAAAACTAAAGGATAAAACAGACAGAAAAGCTATTTAACATTTTACAAGGCTCCAAGATGGCTCCCTCTGAAGTTGTGAGTGACACAGTGGATGATGCCAGTAGCAGAGACTGTTGAGATACAAAGTACCTAGTGAGAATAATGAGAAATGATTCTAACAGTGACATATAAACAGAAGGCTCCACAGGCAGGACAATAAACAGATGAGGACTCCTAGAACTATTCTCTGATATTAGCTAATCTACTTTCACAACGACCAGTGGTACTGATTTGGATGCTTTTTTTGCATAGTCTTCCAGCCTTAAGTTGAGAAGGTAATATAGGTATATATGGCCTTGACAGTCTAGTAACACTGAATCACCCTAACTCCTCAGATTATAAAAATCAGGAAGCAACCTGAGTCTAATGCTAATAAATGGTCTCACACTAAAGGATGCTTACCATTGGCTTTCCAGCAGAAATGGCGCCCACCTGATTTTGTGGAGGGGGAGGATTTCCCAGCCTATTATTCCGAAAACCTGAAGCCAAGAGAAAGAGATATACTTCAGTCAATTCCAATAATTCTTCAGTCAATTCTAATAATTCTACCATCTTATATTCTGCTCACCCTATATCACCTGAAAAATTGTTATTAATAAGTTACAATTTATTGAACAGCTACTATGTGCCATGCTGCAAACCTGACATAAATTATTTTATCTGGCAAGAATCTTATAAAGTAGGTATCATGAGCCACATTTCATACAAATGTGACTTGCCAAGGTTCATTTGCTAGTAATTAGCAGAGATGGAATTCCAACTTAGGCTAGACCCCAAAGACAGGGCTATTTTACATATACCAGGCCAGAACGGGGGTTCGCATCAGAAGAAGCCCAAGCTAAGGAAACGGCATTGCACCCCATCAATACATTTGAGAAAGCAGCCCTCCCCCTTTTTTTAGACGCAGCTTCACTCTTGTTGCCCAGGCTGGAGTGCAATGGCATGATCTCAGCTCAGTGCAACCTCCGCCTCCTGGGTTCAAGGGATTCTCCTGCCTCAGCCTCCCAAGTAGCTGGGATTATAGGCACCTGCCACCATGCTTGGTTAATTTTTGGTATTTTTAGTAGAGACAGGGCCTCCCCATGTTGGCCAGGCTGGACATGAACTCCTGACCTCAGGTGATCCACCCACCTTGGCCTCCCAAAGTGCCAGGATTACAGGTGTAAGCCACCGTACCTGGCCAGGGACCTTCTTATGTTATGTCTCTTATGACATAGAAATCAAAAGGAGAAAGCCTCCCCAACAGGGACAAGGGATGACTTGTAGGAGGATACAACACCAACGAGTGATTCCACTCTGGCTCTGGAGGAGGGACCAACTCAGTTTCCCCTATGAACAGAGCAGCTTAGGGTCAGATGGAAGCCTTACCTAGAAAGGAGGGACCCACTGGCAGTGAAGAGAGTTTGGTTGTGACTGAATAGTACTCAACTGCTTTCTTGAATCGCTCTATTTTATCTTCTGTCCTGGACTGGATGTTGAAACATCACATTTTCAGAAGAAGAAACAACATGAGAGTGTTTTTTAAATACAATGTATAATTTGGGAGTTAAAATAATGATCAGAAATCAAATATTTAAAGAAACCTAAGACAGCACATTTTCGCTTGGCAGAAAAGATCAGGCAGGGAGAAAGCATTATGAAACATAAAATATGGAATACTTAAAAAAGCTTACTTATATTTTGTGCTATTCTAAAATTATTACATGGTTATTACAAAAAATACATTAGGATGAGAGGGAAGAATCACATAGTATGACCATCCAAAGATATTTTGGTATCGTCTCTTACAGTATGTTTTAATTTTATTATTTTATTATTATTATTATTTTTTGAGACGGAGTCTCGCTCTGACACCCAGGCTGGAGCTCAATGGTGCCATCTTGGCTCACTGCAAACTCCACCTCCTGGGTTCAAGCGATTCTCCTGCCTCAGCCTCTCAAGTAGCTGGGATTACAGTGTGTGCCACCACTCCTGGCTAATTTTTGTATTTTTAGTAGAGACGGGGTTTCACCACATTGGTAAGGCTTGGTCCTTGAACTCCTGACCTCAGGTGATCTGCCCGCCTTGGTCTCCCAAAGTGCTGGGATTACAGGCATGAGCCACCGTGCCCAGTCAATCTTAGTATTTTTGCTCAGGCTGCTTTCAAACTCTTGGCTTCAAGCAATCCTCCCACCTCAGCTTCCCAAAGTCCTGGGATAACAGGCATAAACCACTGTGCCTGGCTTACAGTATTAGTTTATATAATTTTTTTGTTGATGTATAGCTGGTCTATTACTTACAATTTTGTATCTTACTTTTATTATAATAATCATCTCATCTAAGTAATTTTGAATGGCTGCATATTTTGCCATTATGAATGTGTCATAAATTATGTAACCTCTCCCCTAATATCCAACAGTCATTTTTCACCTTTGGCTTTTATAAGATATACAGCAAAGAGTATATATTATCTATATAATTTTTTTTCTGGATTTCAGATTATGCTCTTAGGAAAATATCCTAAAAATAAAATTGATTCAAAAGTTATAAACATTAAAACCAAAGGCACTTAAACATATATAAAACCACAATATGATACCACTATAAATCTACAAGAATGGCTAAAATAAAGGACTATCAGTATCAAGCACTGGCAAGGATATGAAATAATTGAACTCCAGTCCATTGATGGTGGGAACATACATTGGTACAGTTTGGAAAACAATTTGGCAGTTTCTAATCCAATTAAATTATACTTACCATATGATACAGCAATCCTACTTCTAAGTATTTATCCAAGAGAAATGAGTACATGTATCCACCAAAAGACATGAACAAGAATGTTAACTGCTTTATTCATAATAGCCCCAAACTGAAAACAACTCTCTCTATATATCAATAGAAGAATAAATAAATTGTGGTATATTCATACAATGGAATATTATACAGTAATAAAAAAACGAACTATTGATATACACAATAACATGTGTAAGTCTCAAAGATAATATACTGACTGAAGAAGGGAGACACAAAAGAGTACATATCAGTTGGGTATGGTGGCTCACACCTGTAATCCCAGCACTTTGGGAGGCTGATCACTTCCACCCAGAATTTCAGACCAGCTTGGGTAACATGGCAGAACTCCATCTCTACAAAAAATACAAAAATTAGCTGGGTGTGGTGGCATGTGCCTGTAGTTCCAGGTACTTGGGAGGCTGAGGTGGGAGGACTGCTTGAGCCTTGGAGGTCAAGGCTGCAGTGAGCTGAGACTGTGCCACCACACTACAGCCTGGGCAATAGAGTGAAACAAGAAAGAGGAGAGAAAGAAAAGACAGAAAAGAAAGAAAGGAGAGAGAGAGAGAAAGAAAGAAGAAAGAGAGAGAGAGAAAGGAAAGAAGGAAAGAAAGGAAAGAAGGAAGGAGAGAAAGAAAGAAAGAGGAAGGAAGGAGAGAAAGGAAGGAAGAGAGAAAAGAGAAGGAAGAGAGAGAAGAGAAGGAAGGAAGGGAGAGAAGAGAAGGAAGGAAGAGAGAAAAGAGAAGGAAGGAAGGAAGAGAGGGAAGGAAGGAAAAAAGCAAGGAAGGAAGGAAGGAAGGACGGACGGACAGACGGACAAACAAGCAAAGAAAAAAAGGGAGTACATATAAAGTTCAGGTAAAGGACGGCCGGGCACAGTGGCTCACACCTGTAATGTCAGCACTCTGGGAGGCCAAGGCAGGGCTCACCTGAGGCCAGAAGTTCCAGACCAGCCTGGCCAACATGGTGAAACCCTGTCTCTACTAAAAATACAAAAATTAGCTGGGCATAGTGGCACATGCCTGTAATCCTAGCTACTTGGGAGACTGAGCAAGAGAACTGCTTGAATCTGGGTGGCAGAGGTTGCAGTGAGCTGAGATCACGCCATTGCACTCCAGCCTGGGCAACAAGAGTGATACTCCATTTAAAAAAAAAAGTCGTTTTTAATTTTTCATTATAAAAATGTTCTTGGGCGGGACGTAGTGGCTCACACCTGTAATCCCAGCACTTCGGGAGGCTGAGGCGGGTGGATCATGAGGTCAGGAATTCAAAACCAGCCTGGCCAAGATGGTGAAACCCTCTCTACTAAAAATACAAAAATTAGCTGAGCGTGGTGGCAGGTGCCTATAATCCCAGATACTCGGGAGGCTGAGGCAGAGAATCAGTTGAACCCGGGAGGCAAAGGCTGCAGCGAGCCAAGAGCACACCACTGCACTCCAGCCTGGACAACAGAGTGAGTCTCTGTCTCAAAAATAAATAAATAAATAAATCTCTCACATAGGCATATTTTTATGTAAGTCTCCTGGGTTATTTCACAGGGCAAATTTTTAGAAATGTAGTTACTAAGTTAAGGGTGTGATCATTTTCACAAACTCTTGACACGATACTAAATCTCTTTCCCAAACAAATGCCTCAAGTTATACTATCACCATCAACGTATGAGAGTGTCTCATTCACCATGCAGTCCTAGTGTTGAGAATTCTCTACAAGTAAAATTCATTTACTAACTATAACAGACAATATTTCTTATAGGAAGTCAGAATATACACTAAATAAGAAAACTGTAAAACATGTACAATGTGCTCTCTCATAGACTGTGATTTTTTTTGCTTTTATTTTTTAAATTATTTATTTACTTATATTTTTGAGACAGGGTCTCCTCTGTTGACCATGCTGGAGTGCAGTGACGTGATGATAACTTACTATAGCCTTGAACTCCTGGGCTCAAGTGATCCTCTTGCCTCAGCCTCCTGAGTAGCTGGACTACAAGTGTGTGTCACCATGTCTGGCTAGATTGTGACTGTTAACACTCCAGGATCTATACGGCTTTCTAGGTCTCTCTCTTTTTTTTTTTTTTTTAAAGAGACGGGGTTTTACCATGTTGGTCAGGCAGATCACGAACTCCTGACCTCAAGTGATCCACCTGCCTCGGCCTCCCAAAGTGCTGGGATTACAGGCATGAGCTACCACGCCCGGCCTCTCTAGTCCTCTTTATTTGCATGCATGCATGCATGTACACAAACACAAGAGTCGAGGTCTCCATGTCCTCCAGCCTAACTTAAAAACAAAATGGGGCCGGGCACGGTGGCTCAAGACTGTAATCTCAGCACTTTGGGAGGCCGAGGTGGGCGAATCACGAGGTCAAGAGATAGAGACCATCATGGCTAACATGGTGAAACTCCGTGTCTACTAAAAATACAAAAATTAGCTGGGCGTGGTGGCATGCACCTGTAGTCCCAGCTACTCGGGAGGGTGAGGCAGGAAAATTGCTTGAACCCGGGAGGCAGAGGTTGCAGTGAGCTGAGATTGTGCCACTGTACTCTAGCCTGGCGCCTGGCAACAAAGTGAGACTGTCTCAAAAAAAAAAAAAAAAGGCTCTCCTGTTTCCAGAAAGCTGAATTTTATATAACTGTTTGAAAGAAGGGTTACTGGCTGGCCCTGGTGGCTACCATCTGTAATCCAAGCATTTTGGGAGGCTGAGGCAGGTGGATCACTTGAGGTAAGGAGTTCAAGACTAGCCCTGGCCAACACTGTGAAACCCCGTCTCTACTAAAAATGCAAAAAATTAGCCAGGTGTGGCGGCGTGCACCTGTAGTCCCAGCTACTCAGTAGGCTGAGAGGCACAAGAATCACTTGAACCTGGGAGGTGGAGGTTGCAGTGAGCTGAGATCATGCCACTGCACTCTAGCCTGAACAAGAGTGAGACTCAGCCTCCAAAAAAAAAGAAAGAAAGAAAAGAAAGAATTCTCAGGGGCAGGAGTGAAAGAAAAAGGAAAAAGGATACCAAAAACACAAACCATATGTAGAGTCCCCTCAGCAGCTCTACCTCTCCATCCACTCCCTTCTCCGGAAGTGAATAATGTTACCAGTTTGGTAGATGTACTTTCAACAATGTTATGTGTTTATGCACACATATATATGGACACCAATACAGCTTTGTTTTTTCCATAAGTCAAACAGTATCATCATGCTATTTTCATCTTGCTTTTTGTACTTAACAACATGTCTTACAGACTATTCAATGTCAGTATGTACAGATCTGTGACCCTGTCCCCTGATATACTGAATTACATGTACTTCCCTTAATGTACCACTATGCCCTGTGCCCTGACAGGCAAATACGTACTCTTCCTTCAAGGGGTATCACTTATATGAAACCTTTCTGGACTACCCTCTCCTCCTCTGTGTTTTCTCTTTACTGCACTTACTTATTTGCTTCTGCCTCTCCATTTAACTTCAAGTTCTGTGAGGACACAGAATGGTTTCCTCACATTTATATCCTAGTGCCTACCACAGGACCTTAGACATAAAAGAACTTACTCAGTATCTGCTGCTCCATGATGATATATAATCAAGTCTTATCCCCTTTATTTTAATTAATTTATTTATTTTTGAGACGGAGTTTCGCTCTTGTTACCCAGGCTGGAGTGCAATGGCGCGATCTCGGCTCACCGCAACCTCCGCCTGTTGGGTTCG